GAGGGGTGGGGAAGGGGGAGGAAGAAGGGATTGACATGTGAAGCAAGCTTGTTCCTAATTTGAACTAATAAAAAATTTATAAGGATGAATAAACTGTCTCGGTGAGGAAGAAGTGCAGGGAACAGGCTTCCCTCCAGTAAATGGAGAAGTAGATACGAACTAGTGAGCAGTCTTAAAGAAAATGGCTAGACATTCCAAAGGGACAGAGCTAAAGTCATTTGTTTATATTAGCCTGTTTCGTAAGCCATGTTTGAAATACATCACCTTCTGTCAGTTACCTAGAGCTAGAGTGTGTCAGTGACTGTGTGATGTGCTTGCAGAACACCAAAACCAACAGAATTCTGATATGTTATCTAATTGTCTTATCTAGTGTTCTCCGTATCTCTGTATATGCAGGGGGAAGAGAACAAAACTTAACAACAAAGGGAGGAATAATGAAACCCAATTTGAGGGATCTCTCCCCTAAAATGTATTGAAACAGATAAGCCAAGGGAATTTACAACATACAATGTTTTTTTTTAATCAAGAAGAAGAATTTCCTCATGTCTTGTTTTTGACTTACTTCAAGAATGTACTTTTGCCAAGTCTTTTTTTTTTTTGTACTGTGGTTTTTATGATGAGAGCACTACTTCCTTTGAAGTTTTGTTTGTCTTAGTACAGCCAAGTTGAGCGGATTCTTAAAAAGTGCTATTTTAGAACAAATACAAGGAGAAATGAACCACGGTGCCCAAACAATGGTTTGGGTGTACAGTTTCATTACTTTCAGTCCAGTCTGGGAAATATGTAACTAGTTTTTCACCCAGAGAGTACAAATGTTCCAGTTTATTAGAAAGCACGTATTACTGGAAACAGTCAAGGACAGAACTGTAATAACAGAAACCAGCTTAGTGACCTTGATTGATGCCAGCAACACTGGCTGGCCCTGGTGCTGAGACAAGCTGTATCAGCTGAGGTGTGGCAATGAAAAGTCTGGAAGATGTTCTCCTCTATCAGACTTCATCTTTGTCTTCTAGCCTTGACACCATAAGCCTATATCACCCAGTGTATCTGTGTATTTTTCTGCGGATTGACCTATAGATATGCTCCCCTGAGGCTCCTGTGTGAACACCAGCCACTGAGCAGTGAATACGAAACCTCCAGACTTGCAGAATGCCCAGCATGTGGCATCTCTACTGGGCCCACTTTTAACATTTGCATCACAGCAAACCTTGGGCTCTGATCTTGCTCTGTCCCTCTGGTGAAACAGAACCCTTCAGTTTCTCTTGCTTAAAAATTATCTTTCCACACAATGTCTTTGGTTTCTGAGTTTACATACGAATTTACATGGAGGAAGTTCTGGAGATCAAGGGTGAATATAAAGTTCCTGAAGTCGAGCCCCACGGGGACATTCCCAGAATGCAAGTGGTAAGAGGGATAGGATGCTGGACTAGATGTAAGACAAAGAATTTAGATCTATAGCAACTATGACTAAAGAGCCGACCCTCCATGGGCCAGGGTCACAACTGTTTGTGAGGTAAAGGAGACGGGATGAGGGAAGCATCTCCAGTTTGCAGTGTAGCCCAGAATCATATAGAAGCTTGAGGTGTCATCTCTAGGGTAAGGGCATTTGAGTCACATATGGTCAGCCCATAGAGAGACTGGCGGTCAATGGAGGTCTGAGAAACAGCCCACTAATTGCTCCATGAATGTCGAGCCATCCCTATAGTCCTGAGCTGACAGTAACTCACTCTCCAATGCACATTGCTTCATCTTCTCCCAGTATCAGCCTTCCAGACAGAACTCTTCCCCTTCTCCTGGCCAGCAAGCTTAGCAAAAGCCAGCAGATTTTCATCAGCCCGCTCCCATTTGCTAGAGGGAACAGCTTCCCACTATTAGTCACAATACCCCCCCTCCAATGTGATGGTGCTAACAGAGAATAAATGTCTACTACACCGCTACATCTCCAAATAGAAGATCACTTTCCTCTTAAACAAATGCAACCTTGCAAAATATGCATTTACAAAAATGTACATGGGTGCCTTTATATGTGTGTGTCTGATAATTTGCTTTACAATTTAAACCACCATGGAACTCTTTGAAGTACCAGATCCTTCATTTCTCTTTATCATCACCCCTCTCCCTGACGAATAATATTACACAAATTTACTTTTTTATAACTGACTAGGAATACACGTAAAGAAAGCATCTTGTATTCAAAGAGACAAATGAAAACACCTGTCTTTGGGACATCTGTCGATTTTCTTCAGGTTCCCTGGAGTGTGAGCTTATCTTTTACATACCAATCTAGAATGACACATAGTGCCACTATGTCCCTAAAAGCCACATGAGTGGCCTCAGAGTCCACCATGATATAATAGCCTTCTATAGAAAGAAGTGCCTGCAGGAGTTGCAGATCCACAGTAGCCAGCAGGGCTGAAATGGGGCGAGAAGATGGTGCTGCTATGGAAGGATCTGAAGGTGGATACACACCCTCACCATACTCAGTCATCAGCTCTCACTGGGGCACAGCTTGATAAGCTGGAGTCATCACTTAACTCTACCCAATAAATGTAACAGACAAAACAATAACTATGTCTCTAGGAGTGGTGACATTATTTTTAGTAATGGTGGTGTTCCAGGAAGTTTTTTTCTTGCTGTGAAATTCAAATAATTTTGCTCAGTTGTATTTGCTTGTGTTTTTCAAACTTTACGTCTATATGTTTTATATTTCTCTTTACCCCAGAGGC